CCTACTGCAGCAGTGAGGGGTACAAATTTAAGATGACCTTCCATTAAGCAGATTCTGTACATGGAAAATTATAACTGTTATAGAATCTAATAACTGGGGGGTCACCTTGAATTTTGGTAAACATGGTATTTGTGAATGTTTGAGTCATGCGACTCTTCAGTGATCTTCAGAGCAAGGATTAGTTTCTGAGATCACCCAAACTATTGCTAAACATGAACAGATTCTACTTTGCCAGCTTCTTTATGAGCAATTTGCAAACAAGAAAAGATTAAACTTTTCGAATGAAACATAAATAAATTGTTTTCTGAGAATGTTAGAACAGTTCAAATCTGATATATAGTATTTTGATATATTCTGAAAACCTGCTTAAAATTCTCTCAGATTTACACTGAAGTAACATGATTGTAGTAAACCATGTAAAATGAAATATTCCTTATTGGACAACTTTTTTCATATTGTATTCTTGTAAGTACTCATTAGAAACATATGACTTACAACTACAGTAAAACAAGTAACAATATTTAAGAAACAACTACTAAAAATAATTTCTTCCCCCTTCATTTTTAGGTTAAAAAGCGATTAAAAAATGAGCCAAATGTGTGCTGTGTGGCCATTACAGACAATGCCAGTCGGATTGTTTTTGGTGTCATGGTGGAAAACAGGTAAAAGATGCTCCTGAACATATCACAGCTTCTTTATACCTGCAGTACAATTATAGGCCTAGTTCTCTCCTACACCATGATGTTCAGGAGAAAGGGACTGAAAAGCAGGGCTGTCTATTTCCCAGTCTACCTGGACTGATGCTAGTCAAAGAATCCAGCAGAATACAAATGGGGAGTAAGCAGATTTTAGGCCTGGCTCTTGCATATCTGGAATAACTGCTTTAAATTGTATTTGCAAAATTCTGCTAATAGGGCCAACTTCTTCCTACTCCTTTCCCACACCACTTAAACCAAATAAGTAAGAATTAAAATATCTTCTATGGTAAGAAATTATGGTGAACATATGGCAGATACTAGAATATATTTTCAAGATGAAAAAGAGAATTTCTGGAAATTCTGTTCAGATTTTCAGATCATCAGAATAAGCCAGTGTTCTAAACAGGAGATTAGCAAGAGGTTTGCCACTTGTCAAGAATGAGTTGGGTGTTTTGTTGGGAATCATGCATAACATCATTAAAGAGTCATATTTTAAGCTGAAAAATATTTCAGCTCTTGAGGCAGATGTTTTCATCACATCTGTGCTTTCTTTACAATGTGTCTAAAATGAATATCTACCAACCTAAAAGCTTTACAGCTATCCCCAGGTAGAATAGATAGTAATCATTCTACTTTAGAAAAACCTGAAAGTCTTCGGTGACCAATTCAGCACGGTGAAACTAAGGGTACAGACAGAAGTTACATTTGTCACATGTTCAGCTCCCCAAAAGTGCTCTACAGCTGTACCGTGACACATGTACGTGGCTGCAGAGCGTTTTAAAAGTGGCTGATGGCGTGACAAATTAACCCTCAAGTGAGGCATTAGATGAAGGTGCTCTAAATTTGGAGTACCATAGGGAACTTCTGTTCCCTAGGGTCAATTTGTTATGTAATCAGGGCTGGGCTGCCTCAGCCCAGCCATGCTCTGCCCCCAGTGCTGTCTGCAAGAAGGGAGAGGGGAGGGGGAGTGATTTGTGGGCTGGAGTTTGCCCAGTCTGAGCTTGGGGGTGTGGATTAGAGCCTCCACACCTCGTATGCCCCCAGGCTGCCTCCTCCAGCTCAGGCCAGGTAAACCCCAACCAGCAGCTCGCTCCCCCTTCTTTTTTCCCCACTCCCTACCTGCAGACAGCACTGGAGCAAGGGGGGCAGCATCGCTAGGGGAGACAGGCTGCAGGCAGGTCCCATCAGCTCCAAAGTGGAACTCGATCCCCCCCCAACCCAACAGGTTACCATCCAT